TATATATATATATATAGTCTTACTATTATTATAAAAGACGTTTATGGTTCCCCTAAATAAATCTTAGCCATTTATTTTCCTTAAAATTGATGGTTTTAGTGTCTGTCATTCAACATGAATTCATTCCAAACGATATCTTATTTTTCATGCACTTGTTATCCTTTCTTCACACCTTTTTACGCTTATAATCGATTTGACTTCATACACCGTTTATATCATTTCTTCACACCTATAAAGTTTACATTTATAAGAGTTATTATTAGGAATTTGCACTACTAATTATGAAATATTGCCCCGCTAATTGTGAAATCTTACTCATCTAAGTAGAGATCATACAATTATAAAAGAGTGCTATCATAGGAAGGAAAATATTCTCTTAGCTTAGAACTTCTTGTTATTTTCCATCGCTAGAATCCATTTATTATGTTTAGCCTAGCATACGTAATTAAGTTGGTTAATATAATCTCTTAAAGCTAATTAGACTTCGCAGCTAGTAATTATAAGCATCAAAATTAATTTGGTTGGTCGAGACCCGCAATTTGAATATTAAGTGAATTTAAAATAACAATAATGATGAAATTTATTAATGCTCTTTAATCTATATTTTATGCTTTTTAAATGTGGATGATTCGTGTTCATTACATTAGCAAAGACATGACTATGGGACAAAAAAATTACTTATATTGATCACCATTCTAAAGTAGCTTATCATGTCAGTGAAAATGTTGAATTATAATTGTATATGAATAATTGACCGTTATGGGCCTGTATTGGAATAAATAGACTACAGGATTGCATGGTTTGGAGCCCGACAGAAGGCCATTACAATAATACAATCGTTTATAATTAGTATTGAAATGATTTAGGTGCCATAAATTATTGCAATTACTATTCAAACTAAAAACAATGTTGTCTTGCATGCATTTTATACCTCCATTAGAATTATGCAATCCTTTTTTTTTGTTTGTGCTTAGAGTTGTTCTCTCGAGCAACTATTAAATTTAACTTGTTATGTCAGAGTGTTTTATCTTGCCATGATGGCAATTAGGATTGTTTATGAGTTTCTCTCTCCAGTGTTTCTTCTAATGTTATTTATTTATTTTTGTTGATTTCTTTTGTGTTTGAATGTCTATGCTTTTTATGTTCCAATACTCTTCTCTTGTGAACTTAAAAAATTTTAGTTTAAATATCAAGAGATGTAGCTAAGTCAATTTACATTATTTTATATATTTATGCATTTTATAATGATGTTTCATTTGCTTCTTTTTCAATGAACCTCCTTACACTGATATATATATATATATATATATATATATATTATTTTCCAATAGTCTTCTCCTCACAATGTATACTTGCATCTATGACAATTTACCAACTCTTTATATATAGTACATTGGACCATAGATTAGCAGTTTTTCATGTATTCTCGTAAGCACAAAAGAAAATAATAATTCTTCTGATTCTTATGTTAGTCAATAAAAGAACAAATTTAATTATTCTAGCAAATTGGGTATTGTATTCACAAGCAGTTTATCATTCTTGCTACGATTTATTTAACTACATCAGATTAATGCAGTTAGTCATTGAAAAAATGTCTTCAAAATAAATTATCTTAATGTTTGCGTGAGAAATCATGATGTTAAAATCAAAATTGTTGCAATAATGACTCTCAAACCATTCTTCAGCACATCATTTATGTTCAAGATATAAATATGTTTACTTTGCACTCTTCAAGATGCTTTTTTACTTGAAGTAATTTCTTAATATGGTAGTAATACACATGATTCAATTAGGTCCACTATGTTATTAAAATTAGGAGGATGCATTTTCATGATTTGATTCATCACTCTACCTAGCACAACCTAATTATCTTTCACGACAAATAAGATTTTAATTTAAATATTAACAGGTGTAGTTACATCAAATTACATTAGTAAAGATATGTATGCATCCCATATTGTTTGATTTACATTATTTATGATGATTGTGGTTGGTGTCTTGCCGCTTTTGGGTGCATGGGTTGGGTCAATTGCTGGATTGCTTCAATTGTTTGCATAAACTTAGCTGTGCTATTTGTTAATAATCTTTTTGTAACGTTGTATATTATCAACTTCACAAGAGTATCTATATTAAGAGTTGGGGCTCCAACATGTCTAAGTTAGGATATTTGTTTCATGATGATGAATAGGAGAATGAAGGCCTCTAGAGATAGCTACAACTTCTAGAACGGTTCTCATACTTGATTGTGCGAGTGACGAAAGCATAAGTTTTCTTTAGCTCCAAACTATATATCTGAAAGGATATAAATTTAAAATAAAATAAATATTCAATTAATTCTAAAATAATACAATATGATGAAATGAGATTTATCATGAATAGCCTAAAACAATATATCTCACTACTCAACCTCAAGAAAATAAGAAATATTAAATACTAAATATAGGTAATGAAACTACTCTATCATAACACAAGTTTGAAAGGTGGTATGGCCCAACAAAATCGGATATTATGAAATAATAAATCTTTTTTATACTTTCAAAAGAAAAATTCACATACAAGTATATAAATAATAAGAGTATGCAATAAGAATTAAACTATTTTTGTTTTATATTTAAAACCAAACCATTGGTACAACTAAAGGAATATCTGTGAAATTAATATAAAATAAATAATAAATAAATAAACAAACTACCCAAACTATTAAAAAAATGTTAAACATAAAATATTGAAGCTAGAGCTTTTTTTTTTTTGAATGACCACTCTTGTGGTGAGAGTCCACTTAATTGTTGAATAGAAAATGTTAGAAGAAGAGTCACAATAAATGACTTTTGAATAACAAACCTAGTAAATAATCAATGTCCATTAAACCTAAATATTAAGATATATGTATATATGTATATACCTAGTAAATAATCAATGTCCATTAAACCTAAATATTAAGATATATGTATATATGTATATACCTAGTAAATAATCAATGTCCATTAAACCTAAATATTAAGATATATGTATATATGTATATACCTAGTAAATAATCAATGTCCATTAAACCTAAATATTAAGATATATGTATATATGTATATACCTAGTAAATAATCAATGTCCATTAAACCTAAATATTAAGATATATGTATATATGTGCTCTTCCTCTTTCTCATCCTTGTCGACAACACTCATATGTCACTTTCCCTGATGATAAAAACTCTCTAGCAGACATGCTTGACTATCTACAACCATTTGTTGTCCTTCACGCACTTGTCGAAGCTCTTCATTCATCAGCATGACTCAGCTAGCAAGCTCCTCATATTGGGCATGTAACGAGTTTGGTCCACTCACAACTGCACAAGAGCGCTCGGCCTGAAATATGATCTCCATTGCTCATAGTTCGCACACTCTCCCATTTTTCTTCCCCGTCGACTGCATCCACAACTCAAAATTAGACTAAGTAGTGGTTGACTGGTTACCACTATCACTAGCAGACTATGAGGTCTGGCTAGTCAACTCCATCTCTCTCTCCTGAAGCTGCTCGTAGTCCTCCCGCATAACAAAATTCAAACATTAATTGACATTTTAAATATTAATAGACCCTCAATAAAATAGAAAATTAAATTTCTTAACTTACATTGACATACCAAGTGTGGTTAAATACCCACTGTTGTGTGTCCTAAAGTTGATGAGTGAGAACATACGAGTTTGCAGTGGATGGCTCTCGATCAAGTTCCTTGGCATATATACATGATCAGATAAATATAAGTAGCATAATTACATAAATATGTAACCTTCTAAAATTTGAGATAATCTTACATATCTCTGGTAGTGCTCTATGTGGGGGATCGAAGACCCAATTTGGAGTGCAACCCCTCTGGCTTCCTCCGTCGTCTGATTCTACAAGATTGTCATTATTTTCCTATGACATTCTGAAGAGGCACATGCTCTGTTTAAATCAGCCCAGACTTCCTCACCCACCCATGAGGGCCTCTTCCCATTCTTACGTGTTGTAATGAACATATCCTTGAGCAGATACCTGCCACAAACCTCAGAAATCTATCGGATCTGCTAGTGATGTTTCAACAACCAATATAATGACCTCTGCAAATTATAAATTTTGTAAGTTTGATTAGTATAGAAAAGTATAAATGAT